TGAAATTTTGTTCATTCGCAATTTAGATGAGTCTGTATTCTCTCAACTGCTCGCATGTGGATGGGCGATTTTGAGCTTTAACTGAAACAAGGAGGGGGTAAGTGGGTAATGTTCCCTACCCATTGTAAGTAAATGGCCCGTTCTGAGGGGATTCCTATTCGACTCGAGTCGGATTGTGGCAACCAAGTTTTCGACATATTTATGCAGAGTTCATGATGGTTGGGAACTAATAATTTTTTTTTAGAAAAATTCTTTAAGGACCCAAAATATGGGACCAATAGGGGGGACAAGTGAGGTGTCCCCCTCCTACTGGATAATGAGTTGGCTATCATTAATGATGATCAACTCATTATCCAATAGGAGGGGGACACCTCACTTGTCCCTCCTATTGGTCCCATATTTTGGGTCCCTGTAGCAAAGCTCTTTTTTTTAAATAGGATAAGCATATACCTGTAATTAATTAGGCCTACCTATAATTAGGACCCCGCTGGTAGCACATGAAGTAACTACCTGTATTCACATCCAGGGACATTAATCATGGCTTAAGTGGGAGGGTAGCAAACCATAAGAATCTTCCACCTAATATGTGTAGGAGGTAGCAAACCAAAACAAGCTCTCGGTTTTTGTATATAGAGTCACTCATCTCATCTCCTTAATTTGCTTGTAGCTGCACTGAACAAATATTCCTCAAGGCTAGGAGTAGGGGGTAAAAATGGTGCGCATGGGGTTCACAAGCTTGATTCTTTGGCTTCTGCTCTGTTTGGCAGGCCTAGGGGACTCTATTGCTATCGCTAAATGCTTCATCGAGTGTACCCTACCTTTGTTGTGCCTAATATCAGCCACCCCCCCCCACCCAACCCACCCGCCACAAACAACACCAAAGGAAAGCCACTCACACACTTGTGGGGGCCCGTTGCGTGCTGAAGAGGCTTGGAAAGCCTGTCAAAAACTGACAAAACTAGTCAGTTTTGGATTCAGGCTTCTTGCCAAAAACACATTTTTAGGGACGTTTTTGCAAGAAAGCCTGTCAAAACTGACAGTTTTTGTCAATTTTGGCAGGCTTTCTGCCCATTTCAACGCCTCTTTAACGCAACCAAACGCGCCCTTGATGATTATGAGATCAACTTCTATAACTTTCAAAATATCCAAATACCCCCATTTAAGTAATGAGATTACATAAAAAAACAACCCCTAACAGCATCAGTCGCAATTTTCACGAGCAAAAATATCTCTATGCGTAATTTTACTCACCCATTCCAAATTGCGGAATTCTAACATTTAGCATGTTAAGAGGGTTTTCTGATAATATTTTAAACTTGAAGGGGATTTTGTGTCAACCTCTAACTTAAGGCGGGGTTTTGGATATTTTGAACAAGGTCCATGAAACAGCATCTTGTATAATGCCCCCCGCAACCCTCCCCCCCCGCCCCCCCCCCCTCCCCCCCCCCCCCCCCCCCCTCCTAGTTAGCCTATCCCTGTACCTCATATTCTTAAATTGGTCAATAGGAAAAACAAAAAGGACATAATCAATTAGTATCAAAGTTTACTCTCACATAGGCAAATATAATTATATTTGGTCTTTGTTTTTTCTCAGCATTTAGATGCGCATGCATGTACTTCGTTCGTATCTTATATTTCTTTATTTTTTTTATTAATGAATTTGACTAATTCTATTAAATTTTCTTTTGTAGCACTTGACACGCTCGATCATGCCATAGAAGTCAATGCCATGGTACATTTTGTTAAATCCTTAGCAAGAAAGAAAAAAGAAATAAGAGATTTTATACATCTTGAGTAAGAAGTTAATTAATTGAGCCAAAATAATATTTAACATATCAAATGAAATATCACAGGATTACCATGGCCCAAGAACACGACGTCCAATATCGCCAGCATCGATGAGCGAGGACGATGATTCTGAGTAGAATATTGTTGACAACCCATAGTAGATTTTGTCATGTGATAATGCCCCTTTACTAAGTTGCTTACATATAATATCATGGTCAATAAGTTATATTTTTGTCCTTTGTTATGTTTAATTAAGGTTTGAGAAATTATGTTTATCAATTATGTTCGTCTCCGATACTCTACAGGAGAAATCATTTCTGTACTTCGCAGAGTTTTTAGTCTATTTGCCCCTCTTTTATAGAGTCTTCATGTTTCCTGTGTATCGCCATGGATTAGTTATGTACGCGGTTTTTGTTTCTCGTACTTATTTGATTAGTTTCGTTAATCTCTTATTAATGGAACGTGGGGTACTAACCCACCCACGTTTTACTCAATAAAATAAAATAAAATTATCTAATCTTGTTCCATGTGTGATATCCTTAGGTATGAAGTTTTACGCCAATAACTTCGGACATGGATCCTCTCCACTATTAAGAATAATAGTGAAGAGATTATTAAATGAGTTTTGCTACAGGGATCCAAAATATAGGACCAATAGGGGGGACAAGTGAGGTGTCTGCCTCCTATTGGATAATGAGTTGGCCATTATTAATGATGGCCAACTCATTATCCAATAGGAGGGGGACACTTCACTTGTCCCCTCTATTGGTCCCATATTTTGGGTCCTTGGGAATTTTTCCTTATTAAATTCTACAACCAGTGGGCAATTGTAATTCATTCCATATTTAATCGTAACTATATCTCCATGAATTGCACTAATTTCTTACTTTTCATTCATAGGCAAATCATTATCATCTATTAAACGAACCGATGATTGTGATATTATAGTGATAACTTCACTTCTTTTTTTTTCCCTTTTTTTAGCAGGGAGGATAAAATCAAATGACTTTGTGGAAAGTTGCTTACGTTGGGTTATTTCTTATTTTCAGAGGACCATTGATAAGTAGGCTAAATTTTTATTTGCCAAGGGAAGTAGTGAGGTGATACTTCTTAGAATAAAATGAAAAAAAGGTGCAACACATGACACCTAGTTTATAGTCGAGAGTTATAAAAACAACAAAAAAAAATTAAAAATGAATCATACAAATGAAATAAAACTATGAGACTCGAGCCTATCAAAGGCTAAAAGTGTCCAGCGCTAAATAAGTCATTTTTATATTATGAGATACGAAAGGGAAAAATGGCCAGATTGGTATATTTTTTCGAAGCTTGGTGACATGTTAGTATATTTTCTTTTAGTTTTGTTAGATTGGTATATATTTTTGACTCCGGCGTCATATAGACCTTAAATTTGGCCGGAGTTACTGTTCCGGCCAGGGCTGATGTGATTTTTTGCAAAAAAAAAACCCCTCTCCCTCCTCCTCCTCATCCTCTTCAACGTCCCCCTCTCCCTCCTCTTCCTCATCATCTTCCTCTTCCTCCTCATCCTCATCCTCTTCAACCTCCCCCTCCTCCTCTTCCTCCCCCGATGCCGACCGGCGGCGCACAGATCTCTGACGACCTAATACCTGGCCTCCCCAACGAAGTGGCAGAGCTTTGCCTCATCCGCCTCCCCTTCCCCCTCACCTCCGTCGCCTGCTCCGTCTCCTCAATGTGGAACCAGACCCACACAAACCCTAGCTTCCTCCGATCGAAATCCAACCTTTCGCTATCCCTCCCTCGTCTCTTCGTCCTCGCCTTTGACCCCTTGACCCGCCGCCTCCAATGGCAGGCCCTCGACCCCCATCTCTTCATCCCTCCATCATCTCTTCGGCCGCAGATCATTGGCTTGGTGGTGGTTTGTTGTGAATGGAGGAGGAGGGAGAAAGAGGGGGAGGGGGGGTTGAACCAAGATAACTCTCTGAACAGTTTGAAAGATGAAATGACATGTTGAGGGGATTTAGAGAATGAGGAGCTTAGAGTGTTGTAGGTGATGAGGTTTCTCGTGGGCATTGTGTCGAACAGTTGGTGGGCATTGGTGAAGGAGTTGCATTTTGCGTACAGATTGAGGAGGTTGTTGAAGAGAAATGGATTTTGGGTTGGGGGAGTTTAGATGAGAATGCAGGCATAGAGGGAGAGGGGGAGGTTGAAGAGGATGAGGAGGAGGAAGAGGATGAGGAGGAGGAGGGAGAGGGGGAGGTTGAAGAGGATGAGGAGGAGGAGAGAGAGGGGGGTTAGGAGCAAGAAATTGTATTTAATGAGGGGGGTTTTGCAAAAAAAACACAGCAGCCCTGACCGGAACAGTAACTCCGGTCAAATTTAAGGCCTATATGGCGCCGAAGTCGAAAATATATACCAATCTGACAAAACTTAAAGAAAATATACCAACATGTCATCAAACCTTGAAAAAATATACCAATCTGGCCATTTGCCCGATACGAAAGTGTGATGGTGTTAGTGACTCACAAAGTTTTATAGCAACGCACATAAAATCTCAGTCTTTTGTTGCTGTAGTGTAAAAATAGTATCAAATTTATTGTCTATTTAATATTATCCTCTTTTCAAAGAGTAAGATACTTCCCCTTTGAAATTCGGTTCCATAATAAAAGCTTTTCTTTTTCCTTTTTTATCTCTAGTAAAAGATGAGGCTCACATAATTCAATTGAAAAAAAAAAATTAATTTGACATGATATTTTCTAGTAGAGAAATGCTAGCCACGGTCGCGACTGCACCGTACTGGCACTGTGGTTGGGACACGTGCCCCGTACAAGGACATGTAAGGGCCCGTTTGGTTCAAGATTTTTGCCTAAGTTCTTGGGCAGAAAGCCTGCCAAAGTGTCACTTTTGGCAGGCTTTCTGCCCAAAACGCCTCTAAAAGTGGCGTTTTGGGCAGAAAGCCTGCCAAAAGTGACACTTTGGCAGGCTTTCTGCCCAAGAACTTAGGCAAAAATCTTGAACCAAACGGGCCCCAAGGGGCAATGTACTCAGCTGCAGTTGTGACTGTAGCTCGCGCTCCTCATTCTAGCAACCATGGATCCACTAAAACGGATTTCGTGGAGTTGCCGAGCATAGGAATGTACACTTGCTTGAATTTGTAAGCATACCCATTTAGTTTTTATTTATTCTTCTTTGGGCCAACAGTTTGATGCCTTGAACATGGGCCTTTACGCGTTAACAAACCTTAACCCAGCAAAAAGAATAACGAGGAAGCCCAAAAGCCTATTAGCTCTAGAAGAACCTAATAATTTACATTAGTTCTCAAAACTTAACAAAAGAAAAGGGAAGACAATGAAAACACTTATTGATCATCATACATGATACATCTAATATCCAACACAAGCTAACCCAAAAGTTAAGTTTAAAAAAAAACAACCAAAAACTACACTAGACTTGGTATTTTGAAGCTATAAATAAAAGCTATATCCCATGACAAAATTTGGAGGATATAGGGCTTTAACATATATAGCTACTACAACTAAGGATCATCCACATCAGCTTCCTTCAGAGGATGACTGTTGTGGATTGGGGCTCTCCTGCGTCCCCTAGAATGGTAGTCTTCACTCAGCAAGTTGTAGAGCTCCTCAGTAGCCTGTTGAAGATTTTTTGTACTTTGAGGAGAGACTTCAGTAGGATCTGCAACTGGAGATTTTATTGGCTCCGATGCTTTCCCTTGTGTTTCCAATCTCTGCACTGAGGACTTAGTCTCCTGAGCCTGTGAAATAAAAACTTAGTCATGGTGCTTAATCTTATGACTTTTTGCGAGTAAAACTATGGGAGGCAATCCCTCATGTTTCATATTAATAAGTGTTTCATAATGAGTCACCCGCCGAACCACCGTTCAAATGTACTAGCTAGTTATTACCCTCAATATAGAAGATATTTTAGCCCTTTGTTTTTCACTTAACCTAAAGGCGAAAGGTACGTAGTTCAATGTCATATGATTTCGACATGACATCTCAACCTAACATGAAAAATAACAACATTTTGAGTTTGGAAGATATAAAGGGTATAAGCAAATTAAATATATTCTCACAGCCCAGAGGGGGTGTACTACGATTAAACCCTTAATAAAACAATTCAAATATATAGAGGAAAAAGAGCAATATACATGAGCTATTTAAAGAACTAATGTTTATTTTTAACTTTGTTGCAGATGATACATACTACAGTGAAAAGATTGCGACCTTGCCATTTTGGCTTGATGATGCAATTTTGCTTGAAGAATCGACATTCTTTCCTGCATACAGAAGAGAAGACATCACAATCACAAACTCATAATTGTGTAACTGGTATCTATACAATAAAGAAATTCCTTAAGTAGTCAAAAGGCATTTCATACAAATAGATCAATTTCAGGTTGCTACATGTATCTACACAATAAACATTGAAAATGAAAGGAAAAAAATCCTCTTTTTTATTTTAAGTGAAGGGTGATTTTTACCTGTATTCATCTCCATATTCACCTTTTCTTCCACCCCCATTTTCCTTCCTCTCAACAATTTCCTCCGTGTCATCACTTCATCCTTGATTTGAAGCTCCTATAATATTCAATATGTTAAAATATTATTTTAGCTCAATGAACCAATTCTTCTTAACTTCAACATGTATAAATTCTCTAATATATTTTTTTTCTTTCTTATGAAAATTAACAAAATGTACCTTGTTGTTGCCTCCTATGGCATGATGAGTATTTGCGAGCGCAACAAGTTCTAAAAAAGAAATTTTAATAGAATTAGCAAGATTAATTAATAAGAACAAGGAATAGCTAAAGATTCAAAATGTGAGACGATTTGTGATACTTGATCATGCATCCTCTTTATTTTTCTTTTTGAAAAACAAGAAATATAGTACAACAGTACCTTGGTGAGTAGTAGCAGTAGAACCTCCTAGAGCAGCCAAGGAGAGCAATAGCCCAAGAATCAAGCTTGTGAACCTTTTGCACACCATTTCTTTCTTCTTCTTCTTTCTTTTTATTTTTATTTTATTATTTTTTTTTTTTGCCTAGCCTTTAGGTATATTTGTTAAGTGAGAGAAGATGAAGAGGGATCATAGGGTTTTAACAAAGACGTACAGAATCAAAGACATCAAGTCAAAGCTAGAATTCCAATACCATAATCTATCCATTAACCTCAAAATGTTGTCCCCACAATCTTTTTTAAACTAGTTTCCCAATAAGAGGTTAGGTTAATACGTGGCTCTCAAAGTTGCTCAAATCAAGAAAGTATATAATTAGTATTGAAAAATTATTGAACATGTGATCATGAGGAGATCAACTTGAATGTGGGTCCATTTGGGATTGGTTTTCAAACTAAACCTATGGATGCATGAAAAGCATACGTGAGGTTGAGAGTACATTGCCCTGCATGCAATTGGAATTTGATGTTGCCAAACCCTACAAATAAAGGAGGGGAAAACAAAGTCTCCTGGGTTTGGTTTTGACTTTTTCACAAACCACAAATTGGCCATATCATAAAAATGTAAATTTTCAATGGAAACATGCATGTTGAGATTCAAACGTAGTAGGAATTTATTAGCAAGAGATATCATCGACACAACGGCACCAACTTTTTAGTAACAGTACAACATGACCATGGGATTATAACTAGCAATAATTTCTTTTTAAATCATCCCACTTTAGGATACCATGCATATTGTGCAATTTAAACTACGATAATTATAAAATAAAATAATAAGCTGTAGTTTCTTGAAATCAGAATTTTTTTTTGTACGATATTGATGCGATAGGTCTCCCAGCAGCGAAGTTTAACGACGAAGGTCGGTGGCATATGTGGATGCATGTTGGACAACCTTTGATCTTTGACTACTTTAATTTTGACCCGGAGCTAATTAATTAATTGCTCATTATGATCATGTAATTAAGAAGCATTTTTGTTAATATTATAACGTTTGAAAAAGTTGTGTTGATCATCGAGGAGGAGGACCAAGGGTATCCGCCGACGGAAAAAGAACATTTTCAAGATTTGTCAAATTCCAGTTACTTTTGCGCATTGATTTAACGGATTCGGATAATTACAATTTTTGGTGCCTGCGAATGAAATTTGTTAGTTTCTGAAAGACAATTTGGTGCCTGCGAATGAAATTTGTTTAATTTGTTTCTGAAAGACTGTATACTTGAATTTACTATTTAGGATACCAATAAATCCATGGAATGCCTACTTTGATGATATAATGAGTTTATTGGAACGGCTCTGGACAAAATCCCATGTCCACCACTGATCAACAAGTGGTTATGTACAATATCAAATTATAGAGCTAGGGTATCAGAGACCAATGTCTAAAAAACCCTATTTCAAATTCTCCACGTATCTCTCTGATCTCCCAATTTTCAGAAAGAAAACATTGGCAAGATTCTGTTCAGCTCATATCACTATCTATTTCTTGTATTATTTGTCAGTTAAAAAATATCGTTTTGCGAGCCGCAACGTGTACTAGTATGTCCATAACAATTGTTACTGTATTTTAAACAGAGCTTAAGGATCCTAAGCCCGAAGAAGTACGTAATATTAACTTAAGCTTAAGTTTCATAATTATCTTTAATTTATGGCCGCACAGGGGCAGTAAATATTGTCGGGATCTAAACGAGAGGGAATTGTTTTAGTTAACCGATGTATTTATGCTGAGAGCATTTACTTTGGAGCAAGCAACTGAGTCCGGATCCTCTAGCTACAATATATCTTGATTTTGGGGGATGCCTACAATAAGTCACGTAGACTAATGTGACTGGTTTATCTCGGTGGCTCTCATAGTTAATAAAGTTTTTTTTTTAATACAATTTAGATAAATGATGTCATGCATGGAGTCCACTGCATAAAGAGATTTAATTGATTTGTGAATTATAAAAAGCTTCTATAGCTAAGGGTATAGAGGACAACTGTATGAGAGATGTTGTTCAAAAAATTTTAGAGGATAAATTGCAGATAAACTATAACCCTCCTTGTTGATATCTTTATTAGCACTTATCGCTCGTAAACTTTTTTTTAGCGACACTACTCATATTTTGGTTAACATTTTCGAAAGGATTAATTGCAGATAACCTTCTTCTTCCCCATGAATTGAGCGATCATAACTATTAGAAAACTTGTTGAGTGACAGTAAAATACAATATATTGAATGAATAAATGAAAGCATTANTATATATAAGACAAATATAGAGGCAAACTTAATTGAAATCTAAAGAATATCAAATATCTCTCGTTAGATATTATGTATCCTCTAGCTCTTTTCTTACTTTTTCTTTTTCCTGTTATTTTTTTTCCTTATTTTTTTAATTAAGTGGTGTTACATAACTGGAATATATCTGAGGTAAGTATATCTGATGTATGAAACCACTATCAAAATATAGAAAATTAGTTACACAATCATTGCATAAAATGCCCAAGCATGACAAGATTGGACAAGCTCCGGAAGAGCAGCTTATGACCGTGGAACATAAAGAGAAAATTCCATTATAACAAGTATTAACAGATAAGTTATAATAACTCCTGAGGATTATAATATTAAATCCCAAAACATATTAAAGTGATAAATATACGACCTTTATAACATGACAAAATTGGATAGGCTACTCTTTTAATTAATGCAATTTAATTATAAAGATAATATGATTTTTGGCAAAATAATAATAATAATAAGAATTTAAATTCTAATTGAGAATTGAGGAATTGAAAAAACATTAAAAAATGCGTAGAACATGCAACTTGACAAACATGAGATAATTAATAGAAGGATTAAATGGTTATGTCATAATATTTAGAAAAAAAATAGTTAATGTGTCATTAGCATTGTCGGTGGTCAACGAAAGAGGGAATTGCGGTCGTCATTGTGGTCAAAGTTCTGGATGTTGTGGACTCCAAAGTGGTTGGCATGATCAACAACAGTCGAAATCTTAAAAACTAGAAAAATGATTTAAGGACCCAAAATATGGGATCAAATAAGGGGACATGTAATGTGTCCCCTCCCTATTGTATAATAAGTTGATCATGCCAACTTATTATGCAATAGGGAGGGGACACCTCACATGTCCTCTCCTTTGGTCCCATATATTGGGTCCCCGTAGCAGCACTCTAAAAACTAATGGCTTTTAAGTATCATAGAACTCATCATTTGGGTTTCATAATTAATTAACACTGAATTTGAAGACAGAAGGAAAAAAAAACAAGAGCTTCGGTTTTAGAGAGGGCAGCTGCAGGAGGAGGCTAAGAACACGAGGGCGTGCTGCCCAACTCTAAACCAGTGTGTTCATTTTGAGAATCGTGGCAGTCGGTGAGTGGCATTTTAAAAAGTAATTAGGGAATGGAAATTTAGGAGAAAATATATTATTTTCATTACATTCTATTTGCAAAAGGTTATTTTTAGATAATAGAAGATGAAAAGGGGCTCTCCATAAGTGTCCTAGCGGTTCGAACTTTTAATTTCTTGGACTCTTGGCTCAATAGCCCAAGTTGGTCGTTGGCCCAATAAAAAGCCCAGGTTGGTCGTTGGGCTTCTCACTATAAGCATCCCGACTTTGTTCAGCATTTCAACAAGAAAATTATATTACACGAGCTTACCGTGTCCTTGAGAATTTCGCTGTATTAGACTATTAGAGCAACTCCAACCATTGACTCCATTTTGGAGTCCCCACTGAAGCATATTCTAAGGAATATGCTAAAATAAAGCTTTGTAACTCCAAGCACACTCCTCCATTTCTAACTCCATTTCAATTTCTCTCAATTTAACAAGTCTTTTACTTATTTTAAAAATATATAAAAATTATAAACACTTGAGTTGTTATTTTAAATATATAAAAATAATAAAAGTTATATAATATAAATAATATTATTAAATGTATTAATATAAAATATGTATTCGGACTAAAATAAACAGACATTGATATTACTAAATCCACGACCATTACAAGAAGATATTGTCGTTTCTACTCCACCATCAATTTCAAATGTTGAAGACATAGGGATGAATGATGTCGAACGGTTCCAACAATTCCTGACCCGGCATAAGAAATTCAAAGACAAAGAAGCACACTCCGCACTTCGAAATGCATTAATTGAACATTTGTGGGAGAGACACGGCAATGAAGTGATGTAACTTTTTTTTATTAAAGTTTTGATGTAATTCTAAGTTAATGTGTTTTATTTCTGTTTAATTTTTAATGTATTATCATTTCTAATTACTTGTTTTGTAATTTTATATCTCGATATTAGTCTCATTTTGAAGGTATCGATGAGACATTTCCAATGATATTATTTTCATTAAAAAATATTTAATATATTAATATATATATACATATTTTAAGTAAGTAAAAAATGATAATAGGACACAATTGGAATAATGAATTGTTTATAAATCCTTAAAAGGGTAAAGTGGGTATTTGGGAAATATTTGCAGCCGGCTTCAAATTTAGACTTGAGGCGGCATATTTGTAGCAACAATTTGATTTTTGCAGGTGGGCTGCATTTTTTGCGGAACGGTTGGAGACGGAACCGACTCCAAAATGGAGTTTTGCGGAACGGTTGGAGAAGCTCTTAGGCAATGTAAATAACGAAAGGGGAAATTTACAGTTTCCTTTGAAAAATGTTCACATCAAATCTAACGTGTATGATAACGCCGTCAACGCTGAACAAAGTCTTAAAGAGGGGACCCTTTCCTCGGAGCCAAATAATATCCTTTAGAAAAATTCTTCAAGGACCCAAAATATGGGGCCAATAGGGGGGACAAGTGAGGTGTCCCTCTCCTATTGGATAATGAGTTGGCTATCATTAATGATGGCCAACTCATTATCCAATAGGAGAGGGACACCTCACTTGTCCCCTATTTTGGTCATATATTTTAGGTCCCTATAGCGAAGCTCATGTCGTTCACCCAACCCGTGGAAATGAGGGGATTATCTTGTACGAAATCCAGCCGACTACCATCTTCATTTAAATAAAGGGCACGTGTTCATAAAATTATGGGGAGTCTAACTACAGGCGTACACGTGTATGAGTC